AGTTTGGACATGGTTTCGCAGACCTCTGATTCCATGTTCACTTTCACGTGTGAAACACATTGGGAATTGGATGACAAACTTGAGCAACTGGAAGTGCACGTTGGCTGCCTCAACATGTGGTCAATTGTGCAAGGCGCGTTGGGCGCATGCTCCACCTCTTGTAGAAAGCTCTCTTCCTCACCAGCACAGCGGATGCAGCCTTGGTGAGCAAAGCGACAGGCTAAGGACACTGACCAGCAGCCGCTGATTTTGATGACCCTCTAGGGGATTTGTTTGAAACTCCCAGCTGCACGCTTGTTCCAATATGCAACTGTGGGGGATCAACAAGAAAGCAGCCTCAAACGTTTTGCATTTCCCCCAAGCAAAGCTTGCGTGATTGACCATCGTCACAGCGGCAGATGTGTGGCATGTTTAAGCTACATTATTTCAGTTGAGCTGCAATCCAAACCGGTGTTGAAGGGCTACCCAAATCATGTAGCAAATCAGCGCCTGTTTGTGGTTAGGGACTCTGGCACCGCACCGGCTTTGAATGTGGTGCAGTCTGGAGTAAGCAAGGAACCGATGCGGAGCTTGTTCAACGCAGGGATGCCCCCGGAGTCCATCTTGGCAGGCTCGTCGATGCCAGCCACTGCATCAATGCCTTCCTGCAACACACGAGAGCGCGATCCTGGATGAAGAAACACCCCCTTTTCATCCTTCCGAAGCGAAGGAGTCGGCCACAACACCCCGATGTAACGATGAGTTTTCAAGGTGATACGTTTGCATTGGACCTGGTTGTAGCTCAAGTTCGGTCCTCCAAAGCAGCTAGTCCCGGTCCTGGCTTATCAGCTGGCTCATCCTCCTGGCTCCAGCGCTTGCCAAACAATTCTCACTGCGAACACATGCCAAATCGTCTGCCAACCTACGGGCAAGCACGGCTTCGAAAAACCACGCATACACTAAGCACATCTGACTCGCTCTGAAACGGACTTCGCTTATAAAGAATGCAATGACAATCTGCTAGTCAAACCAACATGCAGGCAACAAATGAAAACGCTACTCTGAGAGCTAATACAAAGCTATGTATTAAATAAGATAGAGTGTATACATTTGATGTATTCATTCTCCCCGTCATGATAGAGCAATTGCTTGTCGAGGCTGCAAACATGCTCGGGCTGCAGGCTCGTCTTCCTCGTCCTCCTCCTGCAAGCATGGGAACCGGAGGGGGTCAAAAGCATGGGGTTCGGATCCTCTCAAAGAAAACGTGTCCATATTGGGGGACCCCCAAAAATGCGGTCTTTGCTTCTATTGTCCTTTCAAATCAATTCCGAACCGGGGACTGTACCCCCCAGCAAAAAGACTCGCATGTAAGTCATTTGCCGAAAGACCTGGAAGCATGGTTATCCTTCTGCGAAACATGAAACACGTCGGAAATCAAAAGGCCTCTTCACGTCGGCTTTCGGCACTTAGCAAGTGACACAGCCATCTCTTCAAGGACCCTAGTGGCAAATGACTGGGAGGGTGTTGATTCAGGGTCAACATTGTTGGCGAGCCGCAAATACTTATTGCGTCCCCCATCTATGGGCTTTGGCGAGTATAACCCATGCCCTAATGGTATGTTGGTGCCGTCAGTAGATTTTGACCGCCGGGATGACCCTCCCAGCTTGGAGCCCGGTGTTTGATGCCACACTCGCCTTGATGGCATCTATCATCCGCTCTCTTTCCATAGCCAGTCGCACCTGCCAGCGTCTGGACCAAAAAGACCAAGGGAAGTCTGCCGGTGTGGAGGGTGCTTCGAACTTAGAGGCCATGTCTCCTTCAGTATTGGCTTTTTCAGGTCGGGTGCTGATTCAAAACAAAATGGACATGTCCAAAGCACCTGTGTTTCAAGAGCCACAACACAAATAACGTTAGTACTAGTGTTAATTGGTAACCATTTTGGTGGATATCCTTCACATGCAGGTTTCTGCAACCACCAGCCATTCTTGATTTAGGGTGTTAACCTGCAATAATTCAACTGCGCAAAAAAGAATAGCCTCCTCCTTTTCTTGGGGTCGATGTGAACCGCCTCCTTTTTTCGCAGGTGCTCAGCAGGGAGTGAGAAATGGAATGACCCCTATAAGCCATGCCTTGTGGTTTGCTTTCAGGGAACTCCCAAAACCGGTTCATTCAACCCACACCCGGACTCGTTGTCATTCCCTATCGCACCATGCAGCACGTGTGTGCTCGCTCGCCTCCTCTGGCTGTTCTTCGGGCTTCACCAAAGTCACCGACTTCAGTGCCGAGGGCGCGATGGACTTCTTCAAGGCCTACGCGAGTCGAGCAAACGGCGCGAGGGGAAGCCCGAGACGGTGAGCTCCTTTTGCTTTTGCCTGGAGAAACCACCGAAGAAGGGCTCCACCATTTTGAGATACCCTAAGGGTACAGGGTGAAAGTAGATGGGAATCATTTGCCGGACAGTCACCAACCTCAAATGAAAATGAACTCCCAAAGGAATCGTCATGCATGAGGTCGAGAGCATATAGCCGGATGAATAGGAGTTTCAAAAAGGGAAGCCCTCTTTCTCTTGGTCTGAAACTTTGAAACATAAAGCTTGAGGATTGAGGAAGCTGGAGGGATCCTTCATTTCGCAACATACGCACGTGGGCTTGAGACATGCCATTTCGAGGGGTCCTCGATTTTCGGAGACGCACACTCACATACCTGAATATATATATATATATACATAAACATATATATATATATGTATATATATAACACAAATTCCGACACACATTCTTTACATGACATCATAATATATCATAATATATATATATATGTACATATACATCCACATGCATTTGCATATGTACAATATGTATATGTATCTACACATCAATTATACTATACATATTACATGTATGGGAGGATGTCATGACTTTGCTGGCTGTACTCAATTGGTTTGCCTGCCTTCGCCTGATGGTCCCATTGTTCAAAACAAGAGCTTCAATCGAAGACACCATGGGAAGTTTAACTGAACTAGTTGGACCGCCATTGATTTCGTACTTCCATAAGCAAACCAGCATGAAACACAGTACTTGGAGGCAAACAAACGACTCTGACACAGAGTAATATGTCTTAAAGCAAGGAAGCCCTTCAGCTTTCAGCTTCCTGTTGTTTCGGATGTTGAAACCGTCTGCCAACTGGAAGCTTGCCTCATGCTGCGCTCCCAGGGCTGATTGCAGATCCTGCAGAAGTGACTGGCAAAGAGGCGGTTGGTGCGCTGAATGAAAACGAGTTGGGCATTATGAGAAACAATAGGGTACTGCCGGTGGCAGAAGGTTTGAAGGGATTAGGGCCGCGGCTCGCGCAAAATGCATTCTGCCTTTCTTACATCAGACGCAAGGCGTTCACTCAAATACTTAGACAACATCGTTCGCGGAACCTGTCACACCATCTAGCAGCCGCGGAAGACCACGGAAGGACTGTTGTAGACTGGCTCACACAAAATGCCTGCATTGATAAAAGCTACGTTTCGGATTTAAAGGGGGGCTGTACACCATAACAGCTTGTGTGGGGATTTCTTTGGTTACATCACGGCTCTCTTCAACGCGCCCGTTTTCTACGGCAGTCATCTAAAGCCCTGAAACATGGGAAGCTACAGGAATATCGACAGGAAGTTGGCCAAACACTCACCAAAAAAAATATGTCCCGTAGAATTTCCCGGAGCTGGTTCCTCAAATAAAAGCATTGACACGGCTCTTAAAATTTGAGTTGTCCCCTCGACCAAGAGTCGACTATGGGATTCTAGATCACGTCAGACATCTTCCGCAATTCACGAGAGGCAACTCCCAAGAATCCATGGAAGGCTTGTTCAAGCCACCCCATAACTGAAACCAAGGAGCCGAACCGGTTGGGTTTTGGGCACTCCGAAGCAGCGACCCAAAGCCGCGTCCTCGTGCAGGGTTTGGACTTGCTTGTGCAGCTCTGAATCGGCTTCCCATGCAGCCACCCAACTGGGGACTTGCATGAGCTTGTGAAAGACCTGAGTCATTGAAGAACATCAGCAAAGAGAAACCCAAGATCAAGCAATAAACAACTAGGACAACAACGATGCAACTCAGCAAGCACACACACACTCACCAGCGGTTCAATGGCTGGGGTCAGCAATGAGAGGCGCACACTTTCCACAGCTTGCCCCCCCGCTTCCACCGGAAAACAACCAGTGCCAGGAACCAAACAAAACAGGGGTTATTTTGCAGCTTGGGAAAGGGTCCCTTTCAACCCTGCGGCTCTTGGGGGAGCACCAACAAACAGCTGATCGGCACCTCTGAGCTGTCCTTTTGAGAATAGAACGATTTCAGAACCCCACGGAGACCAGAGGAGCGCACCATGCTCAGCTAAGCTGACCAAACCAGAACACCTATTAGCCTCGATTTCTGAGCTTCGCGGCAAAACGAGTGGGACCAAGCTCGGCACACATGAAACACCCTTGGCTGCACTCCAAGAGTTGGTCTCAAACCCTGGCGTGTGACTTCTGCTGGTACGTATCTGCGTCTGTCCACGTATCTGCGTCTGTCTTCGTGTCCGCGAAGACCCTCCCCCACCCCCCTTCCTTTCTGTCTGTCTCTCTTTGTGTCTGTCTGTGTCTGTTTATGTATCTGCGTCTGTCTTCGTGTCCGCGAACGGGTCTGTGCACGCGCCGGGCCGAAATTCTAAGGTGTATGGGGGCGGCGGCAGGCCATTAAATATCAGTGAGAGACACCTCTTATTTTGCTTAATGAACCCTTTCCGCATGCAGGAGACGGACAAAAAAAGATGCTGGACTCGGGGCAGCTGGATTCGAATGGAAAGCCACCTATTTTGGTTGGCTTCGCGTTTGCTTCCCTCTATACTGAAGTACGAGTATAAACCAACCCAAACATGTACCAACTCCAAACAAGACACTCCCAAAATATCTCGGTTTGCGGGTCCTGACAATCCAGCCTGAATGATCAAGGACCGGAAGTGGGGCTTCTTGCCCGCGAAGGCGATGAGGAAGTTCCACATAGTCTGCGCATGCTTCGCCTCGAACAATTCCCTTCGTGTGGGTGAGTAAAAAGGACGACTGAACCCAACTGCGGGAATTGTGCCAGCTACTTTCACCCAATTGTAGAGGGGAGGGTCGTGAGTCTTCTTGCCAAATGAGGGGATTGAAAATGACAAAGTGGCTCGCACATCCAGAACAGTGCCAAGAAAGCGACAGACTTCCGTAGTCATGTCTGTGGCTCTTGTGGATATGTACAGCTGCTGGGTCATTGATTGGAGCACTCAGTGTAGGCAGTTTGGCACAATAACATGTTCTCGCTGATGGCGATGAATCCTCAAGACCCGACAACAGGGTAGTACGATTGAGATTTACACCACGCAATCCCCGCCTGTGCGTCTATTTCTTCCAAACTTGCTTTCAAGACCTGTCGTGTGCACGCAACTGAAGCAACGCGGCAAAATGTCAAATCACAGCAATGAGTTGGCGCCTTCTTCTTGAAGTCATGAAACTCCCCGTTGGCAGACATGACGCGGTCTTTCGCCAAGCACTCCTATGCAAGCTTGCACCCTACCGTTCTTTCTGCAAGTTTGACAAGTACAGTGCAGTCCTCGTATACATCCCATTTTGGCCAACTTGCCATGAGGCAGTGCGATGTGTGTATCAGTTGCAGCGTGGATCAGCTCACACCTTGAAGGCTTTGCCACTTCTGCTCTCTGGCCTTTGCCCTCTCATGGGACTGTCCTATCGAATGTTTGCCAGCTGTGCCTTCAACAGTGGGCAGGCTTGCAGCACAGCACTTCACCAACATTTAAAGAACATCCGTGACTTCCAACTTGCACTCGCATCATACAGTTCAGGTGGGCTGGTCTAGTCATACAATGCGACAATGCCTGGGTGCAACATGCGTTTACGTGATGTGCTCCTTCGAGGTAGCTACAGCTTTGAACTCATTACGCAGCGGGCTCAATCAAGCAGCACTTTGAGCACAAACAAATCCAACTCTGAATATAAGAGCGTTAAACGCAACTGACAAAATCCATCGGACTGCGTCGATTGAGACAAGCCTTTGTCAAGCTTTGGGCTTCCAAATGTATTCTTTATTACCCTCAAGGTTGACTTAAACCCCTGGGTGCAGCCCAGAAAAGACAAAAACTGGGTTTAAGTCTGACCAACTTTGTGTCCAAGCCCCTTTTCGGCGTTTCTTCGCAACTGCTCCGCCCATTTTCCGCACACCGCTCGCTTCATCCAGCTCCGCCAGGTGCGGCTCTTGTCCTGCGAGGTCGCCCAGCTCGCGGCTCCGCTCCGCTCGCTCTGGTCGTCGTCGGGAAAGCGGGGGCCGACTAAGCGGTGATCTCCTCGACTCAAAGCAAGGAAGGGACCCCCCGGACCCCCCGGACCCCCCGGACCCCCCAGTCTCCCAGAAAACGCCCGACATTGCTTGAGTCTCTCCTCAGGCAGCATCTCTGCTGGCAACGAAGATGGCAAATCCTGCACTGCAGTGTTCTCCATGTAAGATGTACATAGATGGTGAACCATTGCTGGACACACCCCATGATCCCGCTCGCTTGGCACACTGATTCAATGCTTACTTTGCGTATCATGGCCATCTGACTGGTGGGCAATGCTGACTCAATACCCAAGGCCAGGCCCCTTTATAGATTGAGACTGGCATGGAATTTTGCAATGAGGCTGCTTGCGGTTTTTCGTGAATTGAGTGGCATCACATTTCAATTTGCTTGGAGGGCGTGGAAGCTTGTGAAATGGATTGTTTGCCTGGTGCTGTGCTAATGGCTTACCGGCATGAGTCTCCTCCATGCTGGGAAAAAGGGTTGGCAATGTGGTGGTACGCCCTGTATTACTGGGGTTGGCCTCATGCTTGGCATTCACTGAGATGAGGATGGGTGGCAACACCAGCGTTCAGTGCTCGTCAAATGCCGGTCTGTGTGAGATGGCATCAATGCCAACCCGTCTCGGAGTGAACAATTGAATCACTGTGGACAAAGCGTAAGGCATGAGCTTGGTCAATTTCACACTCTAACACGATACGAACCACATACCTTGTGAAAGCGTCGCCTTGCATTTTACTGCGAAGCAATGCTTTCAGTCTGGGGGAGCACCTTGAACGCGTATTGGAGCTCATCACAAGAAGTAGCAAGCTTTTGCAACCTGTCAAAGGCGGATGCCACGTTGGGCCGGCAAAACAGCAGAGGGCTGGAAAACGAGGGATTCATCCTGAGACCTGTACCAATTTGGGTGGTCCTTAAGTAACCAAGTCGCCTGACCGTCCAGCTTCATGCGCACCAAGTGCATGGCCAGGGCAAACTCCGGCAGGGTGAAGAAGCCATCCTGAGGTCTTGAAAGCAAGTGGCTAATGTCAAGGGTTGCTACTTTGCACTTTTTCCCATCTTCTCCCCAAACCCAAAGGTGACCATCGGCCCCTCACATGAACACGGGAGCGCATCGGCCAATTCTTTGAAGCTTCAGCGATGTCCTTTCGATCGATGGCTCCAAGGAGGGGAAGCCAACATGACATCAACCTAAAAAAGGCGCCCTTGTTTTGGCACCCTCCCACAAAGCAAGTCTTCGGTACTTGCCTACCATGGAACATGGCCTATGTGCCTGGCCTTGTCGACATCTGCGAGCGACCAAATGTTGTGCAGCACGTTGGAGGGCAGGTGGCTCTGAGCGCAGGTGCGAACAAATCTGCGCGCTCTCACCTTGCTTCATCTGGGAAGATGGGAGCATGAAACCAAGGCTGCAATCTGTTGACCCTTTCATTTCCGGTTCTCAAATAGCATGACATGAGGATCTCAAAAAAACCGGTGAAACGCAAACCGATAAAACATAGCTTGACTCCCACCGCCATGACAAATGACATAGCAGGGTACACATCTGTTTCCTTGCCTCACGGATGCAGCCAGTAAAGACCCAGCATGGTCGCAGCCGCCGTGTCACAAAAAGGAAGTCTCCATGCGGTCCTAAACTACTAGAGTTGCTATTGTAGTCCATCCAAGGTGGAGAAGGCTCCGCATCGGAGAACAACACATTCGCTTGTGACAGCATGACTTAGCTGTGGAAAATACCCCCTGTCTGCAATACCACAGTGGACTACATGACTCGCATATATGTAGGTAGGTAGGCGTCTGCGCGTCTGCGTGCCTGTGCGTCTGTGCGTTTATGTGTCTCTGTGTGTGTGTGTGTGTCTGTGTGTCTGTGCGTCTGTCTGCCTGTCTGTCTGCATGTATGTATGCACGTATTCAATGCCGTTAAACGAGATTGCCCTGGTATCACAGACTTCAAAACCGGCTTTCAGAAGAGCACTTTCCTTCAGGGTCGTCGTGTACCGAGGGGATTCCCAAAGAGTAGCAACTCAGCGCCGGCTTCCGCTCGGCCGGGGAGCCAAAGAAACGAGCCTCCACCATCTTCTGCCTGGCTTGCTGGGCATTGATCTTCCCGTCTCTGGGGCCAAGTTCCTCGAACTCTGCCTCGGCAACAGGACGATTCCTGCACCGAGGTAAAAGAACACAAACTTGGGCTATACCCTCAAAAGGCAAGCTGAGCTTGACTCCACCCTAGAAACGAAGGAACACCTGCTTTGACCCTGCTTCGAGCACCCATGAAGACTGTTCAAAGCCCCTGAACACGGAATCTGACCCCAAAACACAAGGATCGTCAACATGGCATAGTGTGACCAAACCCGCATGGTGGCACGTGAGGGCTCCAAAACGCCTCACTCGCTGCGGGAAGCCGTCTTGCGGACCACGCCTCGAAGTCGGCCACAACTGGAGGCCGCCGCCACTGGCCCTGTCAGATCGTCTTTAAACTGTTACTCTAACTTCTGCCACTGCCTGACATTTGGGGTCCCGACTCTGCAGGCCGCAAAAAGGCTTGAGGGGAGTTTGCCATCGGAGGTGGAGAGATTGTGAGCCTTGGGTGGTGACAGTCAACGCAACTTGGAAATCCCCTTCTGGATATAGACGTGTCTCTTGCTGATTCTGGGACACCTCCCTCGTAGCTTGCGGAGTGTGCCTTGTATCCCGACTGCTCCGTGTTGCCATCCACTTTCATCACCGCAAAGGGAGATGCCATACCCGCAACCTGCAAGGCGGAAACGTCACTGAAACCAGCGCTTGATAAGAGTTCTCATGCACCTAAGGGCATTGGTGCATATCATTTAAGTCCTTCATAATTGAAATTCATAGCCCCAGGGAGACATCAAGGGAACACAAATCCGTCGCCTTTCTAGCTCCCGAAAGCCGCATGATTGGGTGGCGTAAAAAAGGAATGCGGCCGTTCACTGGTAACAACGTAGAAACCAATCTCATTCCCACATCCCCGCCACCAGAACTTGTCCTATAGGTGTGGGAAACATGGATATCACTGGTTCAGGATTAGAACCAAAAAGCCAATGCCATTGTGTTCGCAAAGTGACCCCACAAGGTGCGATTCTCTGAAGGACCCTAATGATCTCCCAGGGCCGATTCGCCTGAGCGATGGCCGCATCACTAACGCCCTGTCGCATCTGCTCCTGCCGATGGCTCTGGGTCAGTGAACCACAGTCGAACAAATGCCCCTACGTATTTGGTTGAGGGTAGCTTTTTTGGGGGGTTACTTAATGTACGGTAGGGTATGGCAATCAGGGTATCTGCAGCAGACCTTTTGCAAACCAGGTCAGGCAAAGCAAACTCGACATGCCCAATCCAGCCAGCGTCAATGAAACCGTTCGTGTTCACAAAAGCGGACCCCCTCTGAAACGCAAGATCCCAGGCGCTCATTCTTTGATTCCATGAACCCTGGATTTGAATCCGTTTAGGGGGGTAACCAGGCTGTGATCCACGGCTCAAATCGTGTTTACCCCAATGGGCGCAAGAGTCCAGGGGTTCCAGTCCGGGGGAAGTCAATCGGCTTAAGCCGACCTTTCGATCACTGGAACCTTTTGCGAACTTGCAGCCGCTCCTCAGGAATCAGCTGCAGGAGCTTGGGGAGGTCCACTGTCAGCAATGTCTCCAACGCCTAAAGCAAAGGACTCCCCGAAAGAAAAACACATAAACAATCACATGTGTTCGTTTTTTGTTGGTGGTTGGTAGGGTCACGCCTTTGTTTCTTTCCTTTGTCTTTCTTGATTTGTTCACTACTCACTAAACTGTGTTTGTTGTTGCGGTTCTAGCCATTTGCGAGACTATTTACGATGTATGTAATATATTGTGTCGGTACCTGTTCGGCCTATGTGTTTGTTTGCCTAATTCGCCTCGGCCCCAAAGGGGCCAAGGGCGCTCAGATCTCTTCTCCAAAGAGAATCTTCGCTTTTCCCCTCCCCGACCAAAATTTTGCCGCCGCCCCCCCCCCCCACCCCCCCCACCCATGTCGGCTGGCCCAAAATCCTGTCCGGCGGGCCTTGAAATTTTCGGGGTTCGTCGGCGTCCAGCTCCATGGGTCCATTTTTGTCGAAAATGTGCTGACAATGCCAAAAGCACTACTGAGCCCTGGCCAGGCCTGTCAGCCCAGCCCACCCAGCCTCAGGTTCAGGCCCAAGCTTGTCTGAAACAGGCCTAGCCCAACCAGCAACCCGCCCAAGCACGGCCCCAAGTCATCCAGCAAGCCCAGCCCAGCCTGCCCCAGCCCAGGCCCCAGCGCATCTCAGGCATGCCAGCCACTAGGCCGGCCCCCAGCTCCCAGCCTACCAGCAGGCTCAGCCCAGCGTGCCAAGGTCAGGTTTGTCTAACGTGTCTGAGACTGGCCTCAGGCCAACAACCAGTCTATAGTTCAGCTCAACCAACAACCCACGCAAGCAAGGTCCAGCCAAGCTGCCCAAGACTGGCTTCAGGCCCAGCGCAGGCTTATCTGATGTGTCTGAGACTAGCCTGTGGCCCAGCCCAACCAGGCGAGGCCGGCTTGTCTGACTTGTCTGGAGCCAGCTTCAGGCCCAGCCCAACCAGCAACCCGCGCGAGCAAGCCATAGCCCAGCCCACCCAAGACTGATGAGCGGAAGTCTGGACCCTGTGTTTTTCGATTTCCGGGGTTATCTACTGTCAGGGTCTTGAAAGGATCTTGCTGGGTCTTAAGTGAAGCCCGACATCCTTGTCCACTCGACCCAGCTTTTTTTTGATTTCCGGGGTTATCTTCTGTCAGGTTCTTGAGAAGATCTTCGTGGGTCTTAAGTGACGACTTGACTGACTGCCCATTTGTCTGGCCCCTGCAACTGTCCCGACAGTGACGGCGGCGCCCTGCTTTTTAGACAACGGGTTTGAGTCTGTGGCACGGGTCAACTCGAAGGGCGGTTTCTTGAGCGTGGGCCTTCCTTCGAAATCCTTGAGTCCGGCAGCTACTAGGTCATCCAAGCCGAAACTCAATAACACACTGAACACCTGACCTGGTCTAACATAAACGGCTGCCCAAACACAGCTTGCTTGTTTGCAACCCTGCTCGACTTCCGCCGCCCTTCTTCGGCGTGTCGGACACCTAGTGTCAAGAGACGGCAAGGTGACGTCCCGTGGGACGCTATGCACCGAACCCTCAAGCTGTAATACCAACCACGTAGAAAGGTGTATACGGACGATGCCGTTATAGCCGAACCCGTGTAAACGTTGTAAGGGAGAAGGAATGATAGTTACAACAGTAGTCCTGACAAATGCAGCGCAAGCGAAGTGTTTTCGCTCTCAATGCCGATCACGTATGTATGCAGTCACACATCAGATCTTGAACCTCAATTGTGTCTTGAGCCAAATGGCGATCAATGGAACTTGGGAAGCAACACCAACAAGGACCTCAGAACAGCTACCCAATTTCGGCACGGGGCCTAGAGGGTTTTAACATCCCCCATTTGGGTCGCATTGTTCATCATGCGGTCCAAACACCACAAAACGTTCCACTGGCCACGGCTTCAACTACGAAATCGTGTCGTGCATTCTTTTACTTGCTATCACTACACCGTTCATTCGCTGTGAAACATGCCGGGTTCGATTGTACGAAAAGTGAAACATTCATCCTCCAATCGAAGCACACATCCATATGCAGGTGTATATAATACACAATCGTCGCGTCATTTGACCACCAATGAACAATCCAGCTGCCGCATTTGCGCATCGCGCAGCTGTCATCCATAAATGGGTTGGCCGAAAAAAGTCCACCAGAGGCGCCTGCTCGCAATCGGTCTGCATAATTCCGGCAAAGAAACATCGGTGAGTAATCAATGCAAATCATAGCCATTCCAGATACCATGGACAATGCATAAATAATGAAAAGATATCATCTATAAGGTAATAGTTCCATCCATGAATATCCAGAGCGTCATAGTCATCGGAATATGTAACCATGTACACACCCAATCATCTTGGACACATGAATATAAATCATGACATAAGTCGTTCCACCGAAACAGTGTCGATGTGACGCAAGTAACAGATGGGGACTGACCCACATCGTACCGCAATCAGCATCTTCACGAAGCATACCTGTCCCCAATGGACAGCCTATGGGTACGTCGGCGGAACTCCTCGTCCAAGTTCTTCTGGGCTTCTCGTGCCCGGACACACTTCTTGTTGTAGTCCTCTGGCAACCAGTGCCCTTTCCGAAGGCACCAATCCAGCAGGGGTGTGTCGCATTTGTTCGGGTCGATGGCCGAGATGATGGCGCTCACGTTGACCGTGTAACCATTCTTGCCAAGGTTTAGGCCATCCCTCACGAATGATATATACTTACAGTTGAAAGCTAGTGCAAAACATCTGAAAATAATATCACCCACCGGGTGCACTCGGTCCTTGACCAGGAGCTTCATTTCTTCCTTGGTGACATCGAGGATTCTCGCTGCAATCCACAGCTTGTAGAATGTGTAAAGTCCCTCGCATTTGCACACCATCATACGAATATATTCGTCACGCTCCTCAACCGATCGGAAGGCTCTTGTCCGAACATTCTCCGATTGAGAAATCTTCGTTATTGTTGATGGCAAAAGTATACCTTCCTGATCATGCTCGGTGATGTTGGGGTACCTCTTGAAGTCATTGTGATAAGGGCAGCCCGGCCTCCCTTCGAGTCCGGCATTCATCGTTCTCTCCTCACCACCTTCAAACATCCCCCACATCTTGGACAGCTGGAGTGCGATAAATCCTGCCATGTACTGAGCCTCACGCGGCTCGTCAAGGCAGATCGCCATCCGTTGGGAACTTATAATGTCCCGTGACGCCAGATCGGTGTCGCGGTAATGCCAACCGCTGTCTTCTTCTTCTGACGCATAGCCGGATGTATATCCTTGCGTGTCCATGTCGTCATCTTCTCCCGGAACTTCCTCCGCTTCGTCTTCATCCTCCTGTGCTGCCGCATCGTGGTTAGCTTCTTCCTGTGCACGCCTGGCATCTCCAGAGACGTTGGGGTTTTGGTTGTCCTCCTCGTCATCGGATTTGATGTGAATGTAGTATCTTCCGATGGAGATCAGTTGTGCCTCGCACTCCAGGCATAAGCAGAAGCAGGTGGGGATCGCGGTCGCACATGATGGACATATCCGGCACCTCAGTCCTTCCCATGTCTCGTCATTCAGGATGACGACTTTGCTGATTTCGTCCCGGACCTCGTTGACCTGTGCATTGAACTCTTCCATCTTGTTGATTCGATAGAGTTCGCAGGCACGATTAACCATGTCAACGATGTAGTGCAGATTATCGGCACCTGTCTCAGTCTCCGGCATCCTCTCGCTGATCTTTGCGACGTTCTGGAGGAACATCGCAGCCGACTCTTGGGAAGAGTTGACAAAGCCAGGGCAGATCTCGTTCTCCACACACTTCGAGTACGCCCTCTTGATGTCAGCGTACTCCAGGCGCTTCCCTCCGTTGCTTTTGCCAATCCAAATGGACTTGACCTCATAGAACGGGATCACGTCAAAGACCATGAAAGTCCCATTAGCCGCGACTCCAGCCCCATACCGCGCGAGGGTTGCACTGGGAATATAGATGATCGCAATCGGATCCCCTCTCCTCACGTTCCGCAGCGTTGTCTTCGTCGCCACGTTCATCTCATCCCATGGAGCAAACGCCCCGAAGTGCAGTGCTAGCCTGTTGCCGCCATCGATTCCGCCGGGGACTAACCCACAGCGTACGATGCTTGGCAGGTTTTCCACATACGTCACATGGAATGCTCCTCCGAGAGAATCACCCATTCTTGCGGAATACCTATTCGCCAGTGCGGATGAGCTCATGAATCCAAAATCACTGTGACCGGTTGTGACTCGGATGCACCAAGGTCTGTACCATCCATCGCATCTGTTGAACATCCTGTCGATGTCGTCCCGATCCACGCCAGCTTCGGTCATTTCCTCCCTGGCTGCCCTCGTGTCGTTCGGGTTCATGATGCTCGGAAACCTTGCTGCCAAAACCTGGAATCTCGATTTTCTGCTTCCGGATTCCTGCCACTTGATCACCTCCATGATGCCCATGTATCGTTTCGCTCTCGTGGTGTATGGTGGGAATATGTCGTTGTTCCGGTCGTCAATGACAGCATCAATGTCGACCCATCCACCCTCGTCGCACCTGAAAGCACTTCCTCGGCAATTGCCGATCTTGTGTCGAAGGACTCTGCATAGGTCGTGAGATAGCTGGTTTGCTTGGTCCCTTGTAGTAAATACCGAGCGATCATCACCAATCCTGCATAGTGGAGCACCGTCGAAAGGAGCAATGCAGAAGTTGACACTCTTGCCAAGTTGCATCACGTCCACTTGCTCAAGGATTGCACCTTTGGGAAAGTATTTGGGGTCAACGATGGACGCATACGCCCATGGCAAGTGCACATCACTCACATCGCCATACTTCGGGATGTAGCACGGGATGGTGTCGCATCCCATCTCAAGCGTCTTCTTGAATGTCCTGCTGTCCCCGCACGGGTTGTAGGTGAGGTCGACGCCACCACATTGTAGCTCTCCTCCCTCAGCCGTGTCAGCCATCTCCACCAAATTAATAGTGTAGCTGTACATCTCAATTGTTTCTTTCCCTGCTTGTCCCCCTTTCTTTCTTTCCTTGGACGTTGAT